ATCAGCCAGCCTTTACCAATGAAGGCCTACAGATCACATGCCTGTCAGGATGCCTTCCCCTGGACACTCAGCTCTGGGGCAGAAGTCCTGCCAAGTGAGAGCTGTCAGCTTCTCGTGCTTAGCAGTACTAGAATCCCTACGGTGTGAGAACAGGCCAATCGGCCCAACAAGTTCACACCACTCCTCTGAAGAGCATCCCACCCAGACTTATCCCGCCACCCTTTCCCTGTGACCCTGCGTTTCCCATGACTAATGCCCGTGTACACTGAGCAATTTAGCATGGCCAATCTACCTAATCTGCATATCTTTGGACTGTGAGAGGAAACCCACACAGACACAGGCAGAAAGTGCAAACTCCACACAGACAGTTGCCCAAGGATGGAATTGAACCCTAGTCCTTGGTGCTGTAAGACAGTAATGCCACTGAGCCACCGTGCCGCTCAGCAATACTGGCAGAAGAAGATCTCTGAGAACCAAGGACAAAGAAGTGATTTGTTATGCCTTGATAAAGCACTGATTGCATCAAATACAATATGGGAAAATATGTAGTGTAGTTGAAAAAGTAGAGGAGCTGTATGTTATTTAAATGGAGAAAGCTACAGAACAGGATTTTGGGAGTCCTTGTGCACGAATCACGAAAAGCTAGCATCCACCTTCAGTGGGAAATAGGAAAGGCAAATGGAATGTTGGCCTTTATTTCAAAGGGAATGCAGATAAATGTAGGGAGGTTTTGCTAAAACTAGACAATGTACCAGTCAGACCACAGCTTTAATGCTCTGAACACTTTTGGGCCCCTTGTCTAAGGAACAATACAATGCCATTGGAGGCAGTCTGGAGAAGGTTCTCAACAGGCTAGTACTGGGGTATGGAGGGACTTTGAGGAGAGGTTGAGTAGGTTGGGCCTGTACTCATGGGAGTTTAGAAGCATGAGAGGTGACCTTAATGAAACACAGATTCTTAAGGGACTTGACAGAGTAGACAAGGGAAGGTGGTTTCCCCTCGTGGAACAGATTTGGACAGATTTCTCTCAGAATAAGGGTCAGAATAATCTTCAAGGCTAGTAAATAGATGAAATTCTATGCCACAAAGGTTTCCCAAGGCTCGTTCATTAAATATATTCAAGGCTGAGATAGACAGATGTGAAATCGGGTAGGGAATCGAGGTTAAAGTGAAAGGACAGGAAAGTGGGATTGAGGTTATCAAATCAGCCATGATCTCATTGAATGGCCGAGCAGACTCGATGAGGTGAATGGCCTATTTCTGCTTTTACGTCTTACCACCTATTCCCTGCTTGCAAGTGCCAAGCCATCTGCAGGGTAGCAGCTTTTGGGAACAGCAAATGGCATCAAGCCTGCATGCCACTGGATTCATTACAGCAGCAATGGGCTTAAGACCCTTAAATAGAACCTACTTGGCCATTTCCAATTTAGTTGACGAGTTTCATGTCATGTGCAAACTGTGAAATTGTGCTGTACATCCCCCCCAAGTCAAAAGCATTAACAAATATCGGAACCAGCAAGCAAGCAAAAAATTTATATGGATTAAAACGCAACGTATAGTATGATTTATTCCTCGGAGTGAATAAAGTAGATTATTTTCAAAATTGTTTTGTCACATTTTAAACTTCTGTTCCTGGATTGACCTGTGAATTTTGCCTTGAGTGTTTATATGAGAAACATGTAATTCATCTATTAGTCTGAAGTTAATTCATAGCTTTTGTTTGTTTCATTTTCATGTTTCAAGTTGCCGGAGTACTTTACTGAAAGTGTGTGTCAATTTTAGAGTCTGTATTTAAGTCTGTGGTTTTTGCTTCTTTTAACCTTCAAAATCTTGCCTCTGTCAATTTCATTTATTTAGCAGTAAGATTGCATTTAAAAGTGATTATCAGATATCTGAATGCATTGACATCTCTCGTAATCTTCTAAGTTAAAACTTCCAAGAATATTGGCTGGCTTATTAAGGTTCCATCATTTTCAAAGTGGTCTATTAAGACCCATAATTGTGTCAAAAGTGAACTCAAGTTAATGTAATTGCAATTCTCAAAAAATTGAAGAATACTTTGTTCTCTTTTCATATATTTCTCTTCAAAGTTCCATGCCATATTTGTAAGGAAATGTTTGCCCTAGTGAAAAGAATTATGTGCCTTGAATTTTAATAGTTTAAAGGTATAAACATCATAGCTCAGGTTTTACTGAAGAGAGCTGTCTTGTGGAACGTTACCTTAGACTTTGCTTTCAACCATCAAATATTCTTTTTTTCTTTGCCCAACCAGCTGGAAGTGACTGACGGACTCCCTAGTCTATCCCTTTGACCAATATGGTACAAAGATTGAGAAGGAAACAGTGAAGGACATAGGGTGATTTGAGACAAGTTTGATATTTTAAGAAAAGGATAGAGACTGGGCAAGGGAGAGATCGGACTAAAGGAGTAAGGAAAAGTAAAGAAAAGCAAAGAAGCCATCAAAAATAAGACTGCAGAGTTTAACGTTTTCCTTTCCTGAATAGAAAGGTTAAGTAGTTTGCATTGTTGAGTTGCAACTTGAACCTCCAGCTGTGAACTCAATTAGCAGTTGCATCAAATCAGGAAACTCAGTGACTGAGGAGCCACCATTTTCATGAGCTTTACCTGAATAGCACGAATCTCGATGGGAATTGACAGGCAATCTCTTCTTGCCACAAATTACTTCACAATTCATGTTAATAACAGTGTGCAGTATGAAACTGTTACGATGCCAGCAGAATGTTGGCCAATATTCCATAACTGTGACCATAATTGGTTGTCATCCCTCAGTCTCTCTACAGTCTTTAAAACTCTCAAAGATCCTATTCTTCTTTCACTGTTATCCATCTCAGTGGCACTGCCTTAATCCTGAAATAAAATTATGATCCATTTGTCATCTGGACATCTCCAGTTACAACTTCTCTTCCCACTTGAACACAGTTACCTTTTGGAGTCCACCTGTGGTTTTAGTCTTGGATCCCTTCATTTCCTCATCAATAACTTGCTTATGGCAACATCATGAGCTTACATGAGGTGAGATTCCATAAATATGATCAGGATACCTTCTATTAGTTTAATAATTGTATTGCACCTGACCCCATGTCCTCTCCAGAACATCCGTAACTTCCAATGGCATAGTATTATGTGCATTTGTTACTGAAAGCATTTTCCATGCTTTTGCCGTTACTGAGACTCAGCAATTCAATTGCCCTCTGGTAAATTTCCACCTTCTGTAACCAAAACTCATCAACAACTTCACATTCAGTATCATATTCTGCACCAATTCCCACTTGGACATTTCCCGTGTTGTCAAATTAAAAACACTCACCCTTGTGCTTAATTCCCTTCATGTGTTTATGCTTGGTGTAGTTGGACACAAAGCAATAAACCTTACTTTTGACTGGAGTCACATTGCTAATTTTCTTTGCGGAAACTAACCCCAGTCAAACAAAGTACAATTTAATTCATCACTTGCTTAATCAAGTCAAAATTATTGAACATTAACAATCCTACATCTGTCTCAGCTCATCTACTGAAACACTGATTTGTGCTTTTGTTACCTCTGGTTTTGACTATTCAACTGCTCTCCTGGTCACCTTTGCATTTTCCAAATTACAAAACCTTGCCCTCACCCAAACTTTGCTGCCCACGTCCTATTTTACACGGAGTCCCATTCACACAGTCCAGCAACACCTTGATCATAAGATTCTCATTCTTGTTTCCAGCAGCCTTCATGGCCTTGTGACTCTCTCTATCCGTAATCCCAGTTTATCTCTGCCCACTAATACTGGCCACTTAAGTATCTCTCATTCAAATTGCTGTACAATTGCCAGCTGAGCCTTCTGCTGCCAAGGAACAAAACTCTGGTATCCCCTCCTTAGTCTCTCTGTTTCTAGTTTTCTGTCCTCTTCAAGATGCTATTTAAAATTTACCCTTTTACCTGCCCTGATGTCACCATAAGTGACTGCTTCAGATGGTGTTTGATACAATCCTCTGAAGAGCTTTGGGATATTTTTCTACGTGAAATTAGAGAATCCATCTAATGTCAGTGCCAATGTTGCACTTGCATACTTGCAATGGATTATTGTATTTATTTGTCACCACTCCAGTTCTTTCCATCCTTCACTCTTGTAGCAGTTTCCGGGAATCCAACCAAGATAGGAAGGATGCCAAATAAATTATTCCCCTATTTTTGCCAATGTCATTCCTGAGGGCGTTTTCCTAAATTGTACAAGCCCCATAAAACTGAGCAATTTAGTAAGTTGTAGTTTTCCTCCTATATGGCTGGGACTTTTATTTAAGTTGTATTCCACCCAGTGACAGAATTTGGTGCTACTTTTTGGTTGTTGTCAATAACCTAGCCCTTAATTGGCTGAGCTTGCAAGTAGAGTATGACCACATGAATTTTAAGAGTCACAGTGGGTCTTTCCAATGTCTTAAGTTATTAACCCAGAGGGTAGCTAAATCATATAAATCAAGCTACCTTGCACAGTAGCAATGGAAATGCAGCAATTGGATTTGGCATCTTTGGATTAAGAGCAGGAAGTTCTATTTGTGGTTTTCTTGATAGCCAACCAGTGATTGACTGAAAGTAAACACATGTTGAATGAAAGCAGGACTTGATTCTGCTGTCGTGCCATTCAGAATTAAGCAGTTTGTCAGTACTATCAATATCTTTGCGCATGCATACAGAATGGGGTTAAACATCAATGGAGATGTAAAGTATCAAAGAAGCTTTGGAGCTTAGAACCCATCCTTTATAAGGAGTCCAATAGTTGTAGGAGAGAAGAGGATAAAGTGTACAATGAGAATAATAGTCCACCTTTTTCTGATACCATTACCTCATGAGTTGTTTGAGAAGAGGAGTTGTGGCCAGGAAACAGTCAACGTTCCTTGCAATATTAGTGTGAGCTGAGCTTTGTTGTGGATGTCAATTTTAATTTTAACATATAAATGGTTTTAAGTACTGAGGAATCTTCTGTTTCCCTTTCTAACGTAAGCTTTCATTTGACCTTTGAATGTAAGCTACTCAATCATAAAGCAGTGAACTTTGATGCTGAAGATGAGGTAAGTCAGTGCTGAAGAGCTTGCATCAAGTACTTTCAGGTCAGGTGCATCTTATGTTGGATGCAGAATAAGATTTTTATCACTCGTCCCAGTGTTGTGCCTTAAACTCAACTTCAGAAGAATTCTTCTGTAGCGCTACTGTGACATTTCAATTTCTCACAAAGCTAACCTGAGATTGCTAAATGATGGACTGTTTCCTTTTTGCTGCAGACCTTGCTCCTCTTAAAACTATATTGAGACTGTCCAAACTAATTTTTCTTGGGATCCCTTCTGGCATCAGTAAAAAGTGACTCATGTCATCAGCCCGGATAGGCTTCAAGCTGGAACTCCAGAGAGATTGAAGTGCACGTTCCTAACAGAGTCTGCCAACCATTCCTCTAACATATGCAGCAGTAACAAAGAAAATGTTTTGATTTTCCTTATTAAATTGCTGCATTACTTTCTCTAAAATGGTAGATTCTTCTTAGTGTAGTTCTTTGTTCACTTTTCAATCTAACACTGAGTTGCAATCTTAATTTGTAAGAATTACAGAAAAACAAAAGCTGTCTGATCTGCTCAATCTTGATCTGATATTATACTGCACGTTTATTAATGTTATGGATACACTAAAAAAGAAAGTTGTTGACCAATGTTGCAACTGCAATTTTAGTCTTTGTTTTGGATGACAGATTTACTTTTGAAATTAATTTTTTGAGTAATGTATTCCTAAGTATCTTTTGACACTGTTTAGATTTGTTTATTTTACATTTGCTTTATTTTGCATTGTTTTCTCAAATTAAGTAATATTTTGGGTTGATAAGGAAATATATCTGTTCAACAGAAAGAAGAGAATAAAGAAGTATCGGTTAAGGCTGCTGCCAAACAGGAAGTTTCATTACTGGATTTGGTTGACTGTAAGTGTGGATACTAAAGCATGCAAAGAAGTGTTAAAACTGGGCATTTTATTAAACAGTTGATTACCATATAAATTGAGGTTTTTGGATCACTCTGATGACTTAACCAGGTGGAATCGATGGAATGGGGACGGGGGTTGTAGGGGGGCAGTTATAGAAATATTTATTCCATTTTGTAATTTTGAGGTTCAATAGCGGTATACTTGTAGTTTCACTTCAATAAAATTTGAGATTTCCAATTTGTGTTTTGACAATTAATTTAGTTTTAAATACAAAAGGTAGAGCAAAAATGAAATATGAACTTTAGTCCGTATGCAGCATTTAATATGAATGTTGTTTTAACTGTCTTTTTCTTGGTCAAGAAGTAATGATATGCCTTTCTGCATTTCTAATTGAGACTCTATCTTGCTGTCCTACAGTTTCTGATGTGTCAACACCAGTTGCCGTCCCTAAACCAGTAATGGCTTCAAGATTAGCAGCTGATTTGGAAGGATTATCACTTTCCAGTACTGCTGCTGTCATTGATGTAAGTATATGCCAGTGGCTATTTTCTGAATGTTGAATGGATTTAATGGCTTCCAGGCAATGTCCTTGCTCCAACAAATATTAGAATTGCTCGGCAAGAAGAGCTAGGGTCTTCTAGTTTTTGAGGCATTCGTTATACAATAGAATTGTGCCTCATAGTAATCTACCAATGTAAATCTTCAATAAATTCAGATAGTACAAGAATAGCCCCTTTTTGGAGAGCTTTAGGAACTGTCAGGCCAAAATCACCCGACCTTTCCACGCTTGCTTTACTTAGCATGCCATATGTTCTAATTACATATTTTGTATCCCAAAGTGTCAACCAAAAATTGATAGGGTTGCAAAATTAGTTCCCAAAATATTGTTTTACAAAATGGAAATACATTCAGAGACAAGGAATAATCTTTGTTTTCTAGTATATTATATACAGAAAACTTCAAATAAAATCAGAAACTCAGCCAGTTTGGTGACAACTGTGGATAGAGAGAAACAGATGTAATATTTCACATGTAACGTCGCCTTTCTTTGGAACTGGAGAGACAGGTGTTTAGATTCTGTGTGTGTGAATAACTTTCTCCTTAACTCCTGAAAGCCATTCAACCATCGACAAGATACAAGTCAAGAGTATGTTGGAATACACCCCATTTGCATGTGGAGTGCAGCTCCAACAACACTGAAAGCTTGATGCCATCCAAGACACAGCCTGCTAAATTGACCAAGCATCCGCAAACATTCTCTCCCTCCACTGATGTGCAGCAGCAGCAATGTGTATCATCTACATGATGCTCTACAAAAATTCATCAAGGCTCCTTAGACAGCCCCTTCGAAATGCACAATCACTACCATCTCCTCCAACAAAGGAGATACATGGGAATGCTACCACCTACAAGTTCCAAGCCACTTACAGTCCTATGTTCTGCTTCCAAGTAGGGGTGGTATGAATGGGCCCTTTGGCCTGCCATGTCTGTGCCTACAATGATGCAGTTCTAATCTAATCCCACCTACCTGCGTGTGGTTTGTATTCATCTATTCCCTGCCTGTTGGTGTGTCAGTCTAAATGTCTGTTGAACATTGCGATCATGTCTGTTTTTACCAACTCCTCCTCTCATAGTCCATTCCAGATTCCTACCACTCTCTGCATAAAAACCTTGCCCTGCACATCTTTTTTTTTTTTAAACTTATCCCCTCTCACCTTAAACTTGTGCGTTCTCCCCCTCGGTATTTGATATTTCCATCCTGGGAAAAAGGCTCCAAATTTCCACACTATCCATGCCTTTTATAATTTGGTATACATTTGTTATAAAGTGTAGGTTGACCTCCCCCCAACTCCCTAAAACCAAAACACCTAAAGAGGAGCACCTTACCCTATAATCCATAAAAGGAGTATGAAAAGGTGTAACCCTGCTTTTCAGCAACTTCTAGTGGTTAAATAAAATAAACCTCTGACACTTTCATTACAATCAACAAGTAACTCTAACAGTGAACAAATTAACTAAACTAGTCACAAACCAAATAAACTCCTCCTAACTACTGACTATTCCTGAATAAAACAGGATTCTAATAGTATGCTGTTCCGCTTATATAAAAGTAAAATTTTTAAAAAGTAGAATTTAGTGTCTCAAAATTACAGCCAGGTTACATGTCTTGCTCTGTCTTACATGTCTTACATGGGGATGCTCTGTGCCTCCTCCATAGATTCTTCTGTCAGGAATATTAACTAGTTGTACCATCGGTACCTTTGATATTTAGATGGTGCTTTCTCTAAGACTTGCAGGAGTCTGTGAGAACCAGCGATTCTCTCGAGTTGAGAGCTGTTAATTCTGGCAGATGGCAGTTCTGCAATTTTTGTCCAACTGCCCTCTTCTTTTATCCCCCTAATGACATATCAATTTCTTACAATCAGATTGTTCCTAGATTGTCAAAACCATCAGATTCAAATTTGCTAGGTTTTTGGTATCTAAGTGCCTGGTTCAAATTGATTGGCTAAATTCAAAAACCTGTTGTCGTGGTAAAAATGCTGCTTTGGCTGCTAACAGAAAGGCCTTTCGATACAAATGTTTCAATTTGGGTGCTCACCGTACTTGCAAACTTTCAAGCTGCTCACGGACATCTCCAAGCATAGAAAAAATACAACCTTTTAAAGAGATCATCCAATGCTTTCCCCGCAGCATTTTACAAACATCAATATTTGCAAACACCAAATTCTAACATCCTGCCTCTCAATCTGCAATTACTGTACCCAACTTTGCAACACTTCAATCTGGTCACCCCTCAGCACCGCACGCCCCGCAATCTTCCCCCCACCCAAATCAAAGTTCATGCAACTTCTCCTTGTAGCTAATACATTCCAATCCAGGCAACCTTCTGCTAAAATAAGAGATAACAAGGTGTAGAGCTGGCTAAACACAGCAGGCCAAGCAGCATCAGA